TTTTTCACTAGGAGGGTGGTGAAGCACTGGAATGGGTTACCTAGGGAGGTGGTGGAATCTCCTTCCTTAGTAGGTTTTTAAGGTCAGGCTTGACAAAGCCCTGGCTGGGATGATTTAGTTGGGGATTGGTCCTGCTTTCAGCAGGGGGTTGGATTAGATGACCTCCTGAGGTCCCTTCCAACCCTGATATTCTATGAAACGGAAACATTTGGAGGCATTTGTTTGTGTCATACTAGGTATATGAATGACTGGGCAGTACAGCTTTTTGTTTGGGCTATTTGCAGACCCTTCTCTAAGGTACTTCTCCTATCTGAGTCCATTTATTTTTTCACTTGCTATCACTGGGTTAGTGGACTGATCTGGCCATCCCGTAAAACTTTTTGTATTTATTCCATACCCTCGGAAGCATTATTTGGTTTTCCTTCCAAGACTTTCCTGCCAGCAGTCTGAAAAATCTTGTCACTCTTATTGCAGCTATTTGCTCTGTTGCATTACAAATCACTACCTGGATTTAGCTATTCTGTGCTTTCATCCCATTTACAGTTCTGAAATTCTTTATGTTTGATCTCGTGTGCTCCTTATGTCCCAGCCTCCTTTAAACTGAAACTTCCTAACAGTGCTTTGGGTTTAAGTGATTTACTCATAGCATGTTCCATTAGTTGTCCCCCGTATTCATTTGGTTCCTGGGTCCAGTGGTCCCTCCCACTAAGCTTGGGGAGGGGCCTTTAGAAGTGGATGGGAACAACCTCCCAGGTTTTCCAATAAGGCTGTATAGACTTCCAGGCTTGGCCCGAGCTCTGGGACCCTCCCACTCTGCAGGGTCCTAGAGCCCGGGCTCCAGCCCAAGCCCAGAAGTCTACACAGCAATGAAACAGTCCGGCACCCCAAGACCTGCACACCCGAGTTGGCTGGCACAGGCTAGCCGTGGATTTTTCTTTGCTGTGTAGGCATACCCTTTGGTTCTAACCCACCTGGCCGCGGTTTTGGACAGTGCATTTACTGTAAGTTTGGTTCTGTTATACTGCAATTGCTCTTCTGGTTCCTTCCATACGTCTTGCAGCCAGGGCACACAACTTTGACTCCATCAGTTATACTTACTGATTTCTTCCATCACTACAGTGTTGTCCATGGCTATGTGCACTGCCAATGAGCTCCATGTATCAAAAGTGGCAAGTTTTCTACAGGAAAGAGAGAAGTAAATCGAGGACTAATTACAAGGCACTAAGCAAAGGCATGGTTCTAGCAGAGAAGAACTTTCACTATTTCCCCTATAGTTTTCATAAAACGAAATACTGAACTAGAGAAGACACTGGCTTTCACAGTTTGTGCCAGTCCTACCTCCTCTCAGAATTCATAGCTTATCCAGTCAAAGCAGTGAGGGAAATGCTGTAGGGAGAGAAAATGCCTCTAACCTACACTGGTGATTGAACAACAGTGCACTATTATCACGTCCAATTCCTGCAGGTAACCGTGTACTCCCACACAACTCTCTCCCTGGGCTCACCACCACAAAGCCCCAGTGGGAAATAATTAAAAAAAAAAATTAAGGTTTACGCTTTATTCTGCCACTGCATTAGTCACTCAAATGGCAAGACTGCCTCTGTCCTTGACTCTTAGGGAATACCACTGCCGTCAAGGTCTGTAAAGGCAGTCCTCAGATGAGAACACAGATTCAGAGATGTTAAAGCCAGAAGAGATCTTATCTAGTCCTGTACAACACAAGCAGAGATTCCAGCAGCAAGCCCAATACCTTGCCAGGCCTAGAGACAGATTCTTGGAGGACTGTCCTCAATTGGAGTTCACTTGTCTTTTTGGTTCACCAAGCCTGGGAGCAAGGGGTAAAGTCTGTCTCCTCTCTCAAGGTTTTGCCCCACTGGGATTGATTTCACAGGGAGTTGGGAGACTATTTGGTTGGGACACCACACTATTCAGCATGATTGCTTTTATACGGCACACTGCATCCAGAGACTTGGGCGATGGGCAGTTTGATTGACTGAAAAGTAAAAAACTACCCCATTGCATTGCACAGGATGAACAAAAGGTAAAGCCCAGCACTTACCTGAGCACTTGTGCAACTGTGTTTGGTCCGTACCACTGGCCTATCGATTTGCCCTCTCCAACTCCCATCTGGGCTGCACCAAGTAGACACAACCAAATTAGTCAGCAGCCTCCATCGGTTATAAAAAGGATTTTATGGGAAAAGCTACAGCTTGGGTCTGGGCCACACTAAAAGCGTAGGTGAACCCAGCAACATCTATCAGGGGTGTGAAAATTCCACACCCCTGAGCGCTGCAGTTAAACTGACCTATCCCCAGTGTCGACAGCACTACGTCAACAGAAGAATTCTTCCATCAGCCTAGCTAATGCCTCTCGGGGAAGTGGATTACCTTACACTGACAGGAGAACCCCTCCTGTCAGCATAGGTAGTGACTGCAATGCTACAGCGGTAGCGCTGCAGTGTAAGTGTAGACAAGCCCTTAGACATGCTTTGGAGTCAGATCATGCCATCTTGCCTGGGGTGTGACAAGATCATAGCACCTCATGTGACTATAACAACAGCCCTCCCAGTCACTTAAGAAGCCATATTAATAGGCTCCAAAAAGGAGTCTCAGCCATACTCTGCTGGAAGCAAGATGGGTTCAGGGCTCAGGAACGAGACAAAGGGAATTCCTAAAAGGGCTAAGAACTGCAGATGCTTCAGAGGAAATGCTATTTAGAAGCAATTCTATTTAAACAACAATGCTTGATTTTTCAGAGGTGCTGAGCACCCACTGTTCCTGCTTTCTAACTAGGAGTGCAGGTGCTTAGCTCCTCCCAAAAAAACCAGGTCCATTGCCATTTTTGCTTTGCTTTTCCTTCATCCTTAGAACACTTGCGCCCAGACAGGATCTTTGTGGAGTTCATGAGCACCTCCTACTCATTTCCCCACCTGATGCAATCTTCTTGCTTGCAAGATTCCTATGTAGCTGCTGTGGGCATGACTCGTCATATTCTCTCTCCCGTCTTGAGACGGCAAGTACAAGAGAGATAAGGATACTGGCTGACAGGATTTTCATGTCACAAATCCTTCAACCCTTAAATCAATAGCCTTAGTTTTAGGCAACACCACATAGGAAGCAGTGCTGTATAGATTTCATTCATACACAGTAACACAAATACATAGAAGCTGATCTGAACACACTTTACCAAGCCCTTAGCAAATTATTTGTACATCACTCACTCACAAGTAGGTTACTTCTGAAGTTGCTGTGCTACTAAAATAAACCTGAAGAATTTGTTGCTGTTCTGTAACATTCAGGGAAGCCCAGAGCAGGACACTCCTATCTACAACTTCCTCTTACCTATCTGGTGGATGGAGTAGTAGCTGTCTTTTTTGTCAATGAAGGCATTAAGTATGTTGAAGTAATTATCCGTCTGCCTCTTCCCTTTCACCCACCTCCAATCTAAGAGATACAGGGGAAAAAAATAGGTTACTTACTAGTATACTTCTCCACATGTCACTGCTTAGTAGGATTTCCTTAAAGCTATGAGTCAGAAGTCTTATTACTAGGGACCTGTGAAGATCCCAAAAAAGGACCACGTTTAACAAGTAAAAGGGTCTTTTCAGAGGTAGGAATTGACATGGTAAAAATCAATTCCAGGACATGCATTGACCCTTCTCTGTCAGGATGCATTGGCTCCCAAGGAGAGGGAATACCAATGTGAAAAATCTCACACACCCCTAAAATCCTGAAAGATTTTGGACATGAAAGAACGTTGGAATTTCTAGTGCCCAGAAAGTCATTGCAGAAGTGGGGCAGTTGGTTTGGGAAGGACAGGATGCCAGTGCCACAAGACGTCTCCTGCCAATCCACAGAACTTTAGCAGCAGCAGCCACAGAAGAGACCATGTATCACAAAGTGTCAGCTGGCTACAGGTGTCTCTTCTAGAAAGGTGGGATTCAGGGAGAGACCTGAAGGCATCTCAGCAGAAGTTTAAAAATAAAACTAACAGCTGCTTATCGTACAGCAATTTTAACCAGCGTAAACGTTTCAGGCATACAAACCTGGGAAGTTTGGGGCTCTCTTGGCTAGCCCTTTCGGGGGTCTCAAACACGAAATGGCATTCTACTCATCTTGGGGGATGGGAAAGAGAGTTTACAGTAATTTTAAAAAGCTCAGCAAACAAAACCACGGTCTAACAGTCAGCAGAATATCTGCAGGCTGCCATATCAATAAATCCAAATGCTAGGGTCTTTTCTACCCAGGAATGACATGATCTTGTCTCCAAACACCCACTGGTACAAGGGAAAGCAAGCTGCTCCACTGGTGCAGAGGAATTTACAAGAACATTTTTTTACTGGCTAGCACAGCCCTTGCCAATTGTACATACAGATTTATTGATGTTGATTTGGAAGGAAGAGATGCTAGTGAAACTCACTGGGATGTTTCCATTGGGGCTGCTTCATCATCTAGCTCTTCAGGTGAGAAGAGCTAGGGAAACTTTACATGGAGCCCACAGCAATTTCAAGTTGTGTCCTCGCTCTTTGTTGCCCCTGGACACCTCCCTTAAAGATGCATTGATTTACCTCTGCCTAAGTGCCGGCAGACTAATGCCTGAGCGAAGATCATCTGACCACACCTCAACATGCAGCCCCAGCCAGTATCAGACGTGGGGCCTGTTCCTCCTGTAGCCAAGCAAAACAATCAGAACAGAATGTAAAGGTTAGAACAGCTGTCTAGTCACAGTGCAATACAATGGCAGGTGAGGGAGGGAGAACTTGGAGCTCTCTAGGGCTAGGTCCACACTACCCACCCAATTCGGCAGGTAGAGATCGATCTTCTGGGATCGATTTATCGTGTCTCATCTGTACGCGATAAATCGATCCCAGAAGCATTCCAGTCGACTGCGGAACTCCTGCTCGCCGAGAGGAGGAAGCTGTGACATTGTGCAGTCTATATGGTTTTATAAAAACTTGATAATAAGTCAATATAATGTAACTGAGATAGTTTTAGAGAAAATACGGTAATAAGTGAATGTAACGTAACCGGGATATGCTTCATGCAAAAGGTCTCTTGTAAGGTATCATTACAAAGCTTATAATCCACTGAGTATGATCATCTGATTTGTATAAACGTACCACTCTTGTATCTAAAACTAGAAATATAAAATGCAACTCTGAGGGCCTATTGTAATTGTGTAAAGTGTGGACCATTAATGATGGTTTGGAATCTTGATGACTCCCAGTGTCTGCAGATGGCTGTATTTACCTGTGAGTCTTCCTGTATATGTGTGTGCTGGCAAGTGAGTAATGAAGTCTTGCAGTGACATGTGATCATGTCACCTGAACTGGAATCCATCTTTAACCTGGTGCTTTTCCAGTGAGGGGGGATGGAAACCCAGAGAGACAAAGAGTTCCCGCCTTATGCAAAAGATATATAAAGGGGGGGAAGAGAACAGAGAGAGAGGGAAGCCATCATGAAGAATCCCCTAGCTACCACCTGAGCTGCAACAAGAGCTGTA